CCCCCCCCCCCAACTCACAGGGGGAACTAGCATCAAGGCCAGGACACACACTTCCTGCACCCAATGCTTTGCTTAGACCCTCACTTGCCCTTTGAAACTGCTGGGAAAAATTGTCTCTTGCTGTAACACCTGCATCTGTGACAAAGCATGAGAGAGACAATGTCTCCAAGCTAGCCCCTTCACTTCTCTCTTGTTGGACTTCTAGTTGCTGCCTGGCACAGAGGCAAAATCCAGAGCCAAATATCCTCTGTAACATCCAGAAGATTATGCAGCATCCACAGGCACGACAATATTTCTTCCATGCCTACAAAATGCAAGATGCCAGACAGGCCAACAGAGTGGGTCTTATCTTGGATGGCCAGTATTTTGAAGAACCTCCACCCACAAGAAGGGGGGATACTAAGAATGCTCCAGGAGGGCCTGGATGTCTTAGGGATGAGTGCCAGATATCCAAATCTGATGTGGGGGCAGAGAAGGAACCAGGCAAATGAAGTCTGGAGAGGGTCTCAAGAGACTAGCATGTTTTACATCTTAAGGAACCCAACACATGTTGTGTGCCTGGCTGACAATGTGGAAAGATGCACCCCTTGCCCCAAAAAGGGTGAAAACAGGGATAGACCAAAAGAAGGAAGATTAACAATGAGCTGGTACCACTGGCCTGGCACGGGGGGGATTAGGTGCCTTCTCCCATCAAGTGTGCACCCTGGGATAACCAGCTGGGTTATGGGGATGTTAATCATTACCTTTGTTTCACTCCACTAAAATTGGAGATAGGATATAGGCCAGTGGGACACAAGAGGTGGCTGAAGCAACACCCCTCATTTCTGGAGGAATGAACCCTGGTAATTGAACCCAGCTATGTTGGGCAAGGTCCTCAGAAGAGAAACAATTTGGGAGCAACAGAAACTCTGCACAGGAGAAGGCCTAATGCTAGGGATCAGAGGTCTGCAGCTCAGGACTTGATGTGCCCTGGAGAATCCCAGGGCTGTCACATCAGGGTAGGCCATGGGTCAGGGAAAGAGGTGTACCACATGAAGTGGGTGGCAGTCCCTACTATCAGTGAGTGCTGTATAGACCTCATGCTCAAGTGCCATGCTTCCTGCCAAATGACTGTCCCTTCCCAGAAGGGATTTGGTGTGGGACTTCATGTCATGATACTTCAGCAAGACATAGCACACCCCTTCCTAGTACTTGTGGTCCCCTCCTAAGTCTCTGTGCCTTGGTACCCCACACCATCTCAGTACCTCCAGGTCTCCCTTTCTGGGTGTTTCCATTCCCCATCTTAGATGCCACACGTCCAGCCCCCTGCTCCCAGATGTGGCTGCCCTCTGCCCTGCACACAGTCCTGATTCTTCACTATTCTCCTCCCCTGCTCTTAGGACAGCTACCTCCTGCTCCTCTAGGTGATGTAGTGTCTAAGGACCAGATCTACTGCTTTTCTTGAAGACTTTACCAAAATAAAACAGAAAGGAGGGGGAGTGGGAGCAGGGAGTGGGATGAGAGAGAAAAACCCCATAAAGAAAAACAGCCCATTATTCAAGCTGGCAGTGAGGTCTGGGAGGAATGCATCCAATAGCTCTAACAGATGGGGTCACTACTTGCCAAAAATACCACAGCATTTTATCAGACAAGACAGTACTACTAGGTCCCCTGCAGGGTTTACTGGGAATAGGCTACTAAGGACCAACCCTGAAGAGCATGCAGGGCCAGGGAGGCCATAGCAGGCAGGATATAGAATAGACTGGAATAGAGAGAGAGAGGGAGGAAGGGAAGGAGAGAGAGAGCTAGCCTCCTCCTCGTCCTCTGGCTCAGCTGCTGGAACGGAGGACACGGCCATCTCGGTCTGGTTTATGGAAGAAGCAAGGAGGTTTTCATGGCGAATTCATAAGGCTGGGAGTCAAGATGCCCAGGTTTGGCCAGCAGCCTTGTGTCTGACCCATGCAGAGCGACTCAAGAGACAGCAATGCTTTCTGTGTGAAACCGAGAGAAGCACCAATCCTCCTGGAAGAGCTAATGAACATCTGCAAAGGGCTGTGCGGTGCTCAAAGGGCACAACACAACTGGTTTGGGATGGGGGGGGATCTTGGGTAAATGGATGAGTCCTTGTTGCCTCCAATGATACCTGTGGCTAAGCCCACCCTGCATAATGGAAAAATGGGCTCTCAGCAGGCACCACTGTAAAATCCCTACGCCTCTGTTCTCCCCTCTCCCTTCTACATCTTTGCTTCCTACCACCAGAGGAGAAGGCTGCCCCTTGTGTTCAGCTCTGCCAGAGCACAGGACACTTCCTGAGGTGAATCAATACACATTGATGGAGGAACTAAGTGGTATTCAATTGTTGGTTCTCTAGAGACCTGTTGACTGGGCGCACTTTCAGCCAGCCTCTGAGTCAGGGAAAAGCAGCCTTTACTGTGAGCTTCCACCAAACCCTGTCCAGCATGTCCGTTGGTATTTCTTTTTCTCCAGGTGTACCTTTGTCTTCAGTCAGGCTGTGCAGCACCAGCAGCAAGTACCCAGGTGGCACCGGGCACAGATGGGCTTCCCCTTCCTTCTGTGTGGGGGAGGGTGGACAATTCTCAGCAATGGATGGAGCCAGGTGACAGCTGTCCACACAGCAATGGGGCCAGTCATTAATAAGACAGTTACTCCTTTACTGTAAATGAGGGTCATCCAAAAACAGTGGGGTAGATTAGAGAAGGTACCTAGGTCTTGATTATAATGTGCAACCTTACAATCTTGTTTGACATTCCAGCTAGTGGTTATTTTCTCCAGGACTCCAGGGTTGGATGGAGTGAAGATTGCAAACAGAGGTGTGGTTTAAATCTGTGGATCCTACAGTGATGCACTCTTAAGCCTTCTGGGCTGTAATGGTGCTAACACGAACTGGCTGGGGTCCTGCTAAAGGTGGCTTTTTCTCATTTCTTAGGTAATGTTGAATTCAGTGCTCCAGCAAGCAACACTGTCGCGTGCGCACGCGTGCGTGCATGCGTGCGTTAGGGAGCAGGTCTTTTCTCAGATCAGCTGGAAAACCAGGGAGTCTCACAATCATTGACAATCCCATGGCACTTTTTCCCAAGGGGAAGGCCATTAACATTGCTGTCCTGATCAAAGCCCAACCCAAATAACTATATTTTCCTTTTCCAGTTTATTTGGATTAGTTTGAATAGGGATGATCCTGCCTCAGGCAGGGAGCTGGACTAGATGAACTATGGAGGTCCCTTCCAGCCCTGCTTCTCTATAATTCCTATTATTTGGATGCTGTATTTTTCTTTGCTTCCTTTCCTTTACTGTTGTGCAGTGTTACTGTGGGAATCACTGATCTAATCCATTTTAGAGTTGGCAGCACTTTGGTGACCACATTTCTCTGGAGGTCACCAAAGTGCTATGGGATCCTCCAGATGGACAATGGTATGATGAGTTCAGATCACAGCCCCTATTGCAATTTGCAGAAGGTCCATTATTACTTTATAAGTTTATGAGCAGCAGCAGCAGCCTTGTGTCCAGCATGGGACACATGGTGGGAGCTGGTGGCCAGGAAAGTAGGACTATGGCAGTGGCCAAGGGTGAAGTGGATGGAGGGTGACCAGGGCTGTGTCAGCTCTCACCTGCCCTCCTGTTACTGATCACCATTTTGTAGTAGGCCATTCCTCTGGCCATGCCAGTAGTGCAGTGAGGCGGATAAATTGGTTCCGTGGGCAAATCCAGCCTGCAGACTGTTTGACACCCCAGAGTACATGAATGCAGCTGAGCAGACAGCAACAGCACCACAATACCAACAGTCCATCTCCTCACTGCCTTCTGTGTGGGTGAGTGCATACAACTGCTGTCTCCTGGTAAGCCAGCAGCCCGAGTCTTCAAAGCCCAAGCCTGGAGATACTCCCCTTCTGCTGCCTTCTGAATGCCACTGTGCCCCCAAGGGCCTTGCTCCTCCCTGGAGGGAAGGCAGCATAGCTGTCCTGCAGGGATTAGTGTCACTCCTGATGTTACACAGATCCTTGGAGTTCCTGCTTTGCTGACCTGCTTGCCAACTTATGTGAGAGGGAGGGGAGGAGCAGGGAGAGGAGTGACCCAGAGGCAAAGGAGGCCTGTAGCTACTTATCACTGAGGATAAATGCTGCCCTTAGCAACTGGCTGCAATCCTCAGTGCAGGATCCATTATGCTAAGCAGCCCATGCTCCCTCCCCTCAGCAAACCTAGCAAGAACAGATCAGCCACAAATACAGGCAAGCAAGAGGTGGCCAGCGACTGCCAAGACCTGCTGACACCTTTCCCAGAGGATGACTGGTGGAGCCACCCTGCTCCCCAGTTCCCTACAGTGGAAACTGTATAGTGCAGGCTCAAATGCCCTCAGTACCCATGGGGCACAAAGTCCGGGTCAAATCCCAGGAAGAGGCCTGTGGGTAATCAGTAGTTAGGCTCTGCCAGCCCTGCAGCAGCCCTCCATGATGACCAAACAGCTGATGAGGAAGCATGGGAATCACAGCCCTACTGTGCCATACTCAGTCCATCTTCCAGATCAGTGCAGGATGGTCCCCTCTAGTATGTTTGCAAGTCCAGCGTAGCATTAAATGTTGTGTCATGGAGCTTCCATGATTTCAGTAGAGGGATGAGGGTCAGCTCAGTACCCTTATGAATAGGGAGCCAAGGCTTCATACTGCAAAGAGCAATACAGCAATACTCCAGCAGAAGCAAATGTCTGCTTTGCACCAGCCCTTCAGAGCCATTCACTGAGACAGAAACAAAACTTTCATGTGCCAGCACAAGTAAAACCTTGTAGAGACAACTTCTGCGCTTCCCACAAGTGTTGAAGGAATGGCAGCCAGAGAGGGGAGTGGGGAGCTGCAAACAGGCAGGAAGCTCTGGTGTCCTGAACCACCAGGTGGGTGAGGGGAATTTTTGCAGCAGAGTGCGATGGGACCCCCTCACCTCTGATGGGCCATCTGTTAATATCCAGGGAGGGGTGGGACTTCTGGGGCCCCTCAGCCAGAGGCATGGGGGGCCCACTGCACTCTGCCATGAAAATGGCGCCCACAAAATCTGAAGGCAGCCGCTGTAAATTAGTTAAGCCCCTATCCATTCACATTACTGGTGGGGACCTGTAGTTTGAATCCCTCATTCCTTGCTCTCCATCTGACCAGAAGCTGGGATCCTCTCCTTTGGACCCATTCTGGTCTGATTATGCAACTGATTTACCTGGGTCTCATTCTGACTGCTCTAATGGCCCTGGAGATATCTGACATGCCCTAAGGTAGCACAGAGAGTATGTTGGTATGACCCACATAAGGCAGGACAAATGGAAGGGAGAAGTTGTTTAGCTAGATGCAGAAGCTACATTCTTCAATGGTGTGAGCTGTCAGGCACACTCAGCTTTCCATAGTGGGAAATGCAGGTGCTTAACCTTTCAGAGGAAGTGCTCAGTATTGCAACAGCCCCTGTTCAGGAAATAATCATGCAACATTATATGGTCTGGTAGGAATAGCAGGCCTAATATTTCACAGCTGTGGTTTCCCACAGAAAACCACTAACTCCCAGGCCCACCAGCTCCTTTCACTATTGACATAAACAGCTGTTGAGTCCCATCAGCCCCTGGCCAACATACAGCTGGACCACAGACACATCTGGATGGTGCACAGCTGAGCCTGATGCAGTGACGAATGCTCATCTGGATCCTGTGCCTGTGGACAACTGCAGCCACAGACAGTACACAGCTGTCACACTGTCTTGCCCCTGTTCACTATGGATATAAGCCTTCTGGGGATGAGCACACTGATTTAACTCTTCATTTCTCACTGCTCAGCCCCTTTTTCACTTTCCACATTCAGTCCCACAAGCTATTCAGGGGCAGAACTTTTGGGCTGATGCTACCATTGCTGGATCTCTCAGGAACAGGACCAGGTCAATGCTAACTGTTACACACCAACAATCAGACAATGAAACCACCTGCTGCAAAGCTTCATGGGAAACCCATGGCTGGGCAAAAGGAGCTACAGAGGCAGATACCTTATCACCTGCTGCAGGCCTCTGGTTGCAAACACCTTGCTCTCTATTGCCTTCTGCTAATTGCCAAAAGGAGCAGCTGGCCCTCAAGGGCTCAGTGGTAGAAGCTGAGAAGTATGGCTTTGCTGCCACATGTACAGTCCATATGGAGTAACAATCTCCTTCACAGAGGGGTGACCAGGAAGGAACTGTTGTCTTATGCTGATGAATGAGGTGACAGGATAAATTCTCACTTTTCAGTCTCATGGGGGCCAAACAGAGATCCAGCATCTCACAGACCTTTTTTTTTTTCTTCACCCAAGTCCCTCTCCAGGCATGGAGAAATCTAGAAGCTAGCCCAGCACCCTGACCCCAAAGCCCCAAACCATAGTGACAGCCGGGCATGTGATGGTCCTTGGGCAAGCAGGGTACTGGATCCTTTTGGAGTCCTTATCAAGACACCGAAGCAAGCAGCATCCCCCCAGCTTGGTATTTCCAGCATTCCACCCCAGGCAGCATGCTGCTCCACTCCCTCTCACCTTTCTGCAGCCGTGGTCCTCCTCCTCTTTCTCCTGATTCACCCGGCCTGGCTTCTTACAGATGGAGGGCAGGGTCTGGTTACACGGGCTGTCATTCCACCTCCCTTCCTGGACATGACATCCAAGAACAGGTCAGACAGAGGCAAACATGGCGTTCACATTGCCTCAGTAAGATAGCCATGTTCCACATGCAGGCAAGTCCCACTGGCCCTGCACTTCCTCTCCTGCCCCTTCCCTTTAATTGTCCCTTTATGGCTGGTGGGTCTGATGTTGTAGAGTATAATCTAGTAAGTTCAAAGCCCATGTGGGCAGCAGCCAAAAGTGGCTGGTGGGTAGCCTGCATGATAGAAATTTGGTAGGACTCAATCCAGTAGGCAGGTGTCCTGCACACAACCATCCCCATTGTTAACAGCCTCTGCATGTGAGGGCAAGGAATGGGGAGACCAAATTCACCTCTCATCCCTTCCAATCAAGGCTTGGGACACTGGTGGGTGGCGGGGGGGAATTGGGGAGCCTTCCCTTGTGGTGTCTGGGGCACAAAGGATGCAAGATGCTGGAGTATCACACAATGTTCACACTCTGGAATGAGATAAATCTCACTTGCCCCTAGCCCTCCCCTGTAAACTGGACAAGAAAGGCCCCATTTTGTCTATAGCCCTCACCGGTCCCCAGATGGTCACGCAGTCTTCCAGGCTGTCTCGGAAGTTGTTTGGCTCAAATGGGTGCCAGTATGTGAACCTTACTGGCATCCCATCCGACCACTCAAAATTCATCTGCAGCTTGAGATCATTCAGGCCAATCCAAAGCTCCTCAACATCTGCCAAGCAGAGTAAGGAAAACAGATCAGAGCCCTGACAGAGTACTGGATTGAACCTTCTCCTGCTCGTATCTAGAGTACTATGGTATAAGGTTTGCCTCCTCTGAGCATTCATGCAGGAAGATCAGCTTTTAGTCACATTCAGCTCTAAAATGCTAGAAAACCACACTGGTTGTAATTTCTCTGACAGGAACTGACTTTGCTATCTGCCTGTACAGCAGCTAGGGCCATGAGCACCAACTGGGATTTTTAGGGTTTACCAAAAAGTAGAAAAATAAATAATCATGATTAAAAATGTCAGAGGAATCCAATGGAGTTAAGTGCCCCATTCCCAGAAGACTGCCTCCTTTATGCCCCTTTGAGAATCTAAGCAGTGACAGCAATATGCAAAGAGAATATATGAAAAGAAGTCTCAGGCCACATACAGACATCCAGTTTCTCTTGGGAGAGTCAATGATTTCCCAGGAGAAACCATGGATGTACAGATGTTTAGGATTCTTTCTTCCGGAGCAAATACGGCTGCTCCAGGAGAAAAATAACCTGGGAACAACCATGGCTAAGTTGCTCCCAGGAGAGTTTCTCTTGGGAGAGCAAATGTCTGTACACATTATTTTCTGAGAAGCCACAGGACAGTTTTCCAACACCCCAGGATGCCTTGTTCCCCTCTTCCCCCTCAGGGAGACACTGTGTTACTTACGATGGAGTCTACTGTTCCAACTGAGCAGGGAACTGAACACACCCCCTTCACAAATCCCACATTGTGCTTCAGGGAGACAAAGGCTGACCCTGAGCAGTCTGGATCAGCCAATGAGGGCTGCCCTATGCACCACTACCGTGCGTCTCCAGGCAGGCAGCGGGAGCATGCAGAGTATGCTGAGGTGTGTGTAAAAGGACCTCCTGGCTGTGCAGTGTCCACACTGCAAGCCTTCTGCTCTTCAGGGTCTCAGCATTTGAATGTCTGCTCAGGCTTATCTGAATACATTTTTTCTACAAGGAGGACAAACCCAGGAGAATTCTCCCAGATCATTTGATCATGGTATGCAGCCTGAATTCCCAAGTCAAATTTTCAAATGGTGGGAAATGACAGACTGTAGGTGGTATATACAACTTTAATTCAGGCCCCACATAATGCACATTATGGTGCAGTCTGTATATATATGATTACGTACTATTTTTAGCCACCTTCCTTCTTTCATTTATGACGGCTTAGCTCTACAGCCCAGGTCCTCTGCACATACATCTAAACATTTTTAAGCACAAATGAGAAAAATAATATAAACTCCATTTGTGGGAATTTCCAGGTGGGATTGCCTAGCCACTGACCTGAGTCATTAGCAGAGCTGGCACCTTTACTTCCACAGCACAAACGTTTAGCACTTGAGCTAACCAAGCATCAGGTAGCATTAGGGTGATTTCCTTTATACGGACCAGGCAACAGAAAAAGGAAAGGCCCACAATTTGCCAGAATTTCACAGCAATGAGCTGCCAGCATAGAGACTGAGGACTCTAGGATACGATCCCAGATTATGGAAGGTGATTTAGTGATTACAAACCTTCTGCCTCTTTCTGCTTATCACACCTTGGATCTAGCTCCTGTAACCCTCTACTACCACTATCCCCTGAACTGCTGTCTACATCCTCTTGCTGTTGCTCCTACTTACAAGTTTACCAATGTCCCTCATCCTTTGCACGCGAGTTTGCTTCCTCCTTTTCCTTAGCTGCCTGGATGCCAGCTTCAGAGCATGCAGAGCAGAAGAGAAAGTCTCTCTGCTCATAATTCCGGTGCCACTGAGACCCTCAGTAGCTGAGAGGAATAGTCCCAGGAAAAATCCTGCTCAGCTCCTTCAGTCCTGGGATGGAGCATGTTTAGCTGATCCTCTGCCTTGTCAGTGATTTGGAGCCATGAAGAAGTGAAGCATGTTCTAGGTTGATAAAATTTTCAACAAATTTTGCTGGCAAGCTGTAATAGACCTCTACTGTGCGTGCCTGAGCTTTACAGTACAGCCATGGGGACAGAAAGCAGCTTCCCTCTGATACTGCAACGACCTTTGCTGCCAAATTATAAGCTCCTGCTCCAACACACACATACAGGTGCCAGAGCTTCTCAATGAAACTGTCCTAAGATTACTTTTTAACAACAAATCTAAGCACTTGGCAAAATAAATGCAACTTTCCCAAACTTTCATCTCAGAAATGGTTGAACTTTTTCTGCTGAAGTGTTCCAGAAATGTTCATCTCGAGCATAAATGATGTCAGGCCAAACAGTTGTAATTTGGCCAAGTTTTAAAAAATAAAAGGGTCTTTAATGAAAGGAGTTAGGTGATTTGAAATACAAATGTTGTTATCAATTCAGTTTGTAACACAAGGCTGTTTAACCAGGAAGGAGGTGACATTCATTTCCTGGATGCTGTTAAATATTTCTTGCATCATGATAAAAATTACTTTTCAGACTTCCCCTCCAACAAAGCCAGAACCTATAAATATAGTGCCTCAATTTCCCTGTCTGTAAAGTGTAAACAGTGATATTTCTCTCACTTCTCCAAGATATTTTGCTGCAGCAAGAGGTTCTGACAATTATGATCAAAACTCTAAGATTAAACTCATCTCTGGAGCAGCTCCAACAGGTTTTGATTTGGAACACAGGGCCCAGTTTCTTTCAGAATAATCTTCCCTGTTCTAACAATAAATAAATATGCCATATGCTTGCTGTTTTTCTTGGGAGAGTGAAAAAGTGCTTCATAGCTCCTAAACAAGGCAGGTTATAGCATCCCTTCACTCAGTGGAAAGCAGTCACCATTTGGATGCAACAAGGAAGCCATTTAACTGTGTATACAAACATTATAAAATAAAAAGAAGTGCGGACTAAAGCCATATTGATCTGAAGTTCCTGGTTATTTCCTCAGTGGGTGCATCTACAGATTCATTAATGCACCGTAGTTATTGTACATTAAGTTAATATTTGGATAACTAAGTACTAAATCAATGTGCAGTAACTCTCACTACTGCGCAGTAGCACTGGTGCATGGGGTTTTCTGGACGCTAACTGTGCAGTAGCCTAATACTACTGCACAGTACTGTATTTGCATGGGCTTTGCCTGGCATGCTACTGTGCAGTGTTGTTAAGCTACTGTGCAGTTAACATCTCATGTAGACTCACCCTGTAAGTACCTACCCAAATTTGGGATTTGGCTAGGGTGCTTAGTCAAGGCCCTTACAATGAGCGCCAAGAGACCCTCAGTTAGCTCAGGTGGTCAAGAGCAGTTAGATGGCACGTCCAGAAGCACAGTACCTCCTACCACCATGCCAAGGCATTGGCATGGCATGAGCTGAGATGATCCAGGCCTTTATTTCTTATTCCTAATAGGGATTAATGTATTAAATGCTTGGTTCTGTCATTGCCTCAGAAGACAAATGGTGCAGTTACTGCCTGGCGAGCGCTTTCTGAACTGTCTCTGGTAGATTAACAAGCCCTTAGTGGACAAAACTAATACTTTCTCTAGCACCTTTCACCACAGGATCTTAACACCCTTTCCAGACATTAATTGAAGTAGCATCAGAACTCTCTTGACAAACAGAGATGTAACCCTTACACTATTTACCAAATAGGGGAAAAGAGGCATATTTTACAGGTGGGGCACAGAAAAACAAAGCGGCATCCTGGAGGTCACAAAGTGAATCAGTGTCAGCCAGTAACATAGTGGGATATGAATCAGATTGAGATTGCCTTATTTGCACTAAATGGGACTTTCCAGGCAGCCGTCTCATCTTCCTTCTCCTCCTCCGCCACCAACCTGCGGCCACCACAACTATGCCAGTGGCCCCAAGGGAAGCCACAAGGGCTGATCCGCCTCACATGGCAGGAAGGAGCAGGAGGCCAAGGTGCACTGCAGCCAGCCCAAAGATGCCAAGCCATCAGGTAGCTCCCCTCTCTCCCTGCTGGCAGTTTAGCCCAGTTCCATGGACCCTTGCCAGCCCATGCCCCGCGCTCCTGCCACCACACTCCGGGCCTCTCCGGCGCTGGCCCTAGGACACCGACACAGGCCCCGCACTCTGCTCACTTCCACTCCTCACCATTGCTTTCCCCACCTTCCTGCCCACCCACCAACCACTTTGCACCATGTGGCTCCCATACCCACACACATCCCCAGAAACCTTCATTCCCATCCACCCATAGCTCCCCCCAAACCTGACACCCACCCACCCATAATCCCTCAACACCCCTGCACACCCCACACAATATACGAGTAAGACTGCATTATGAGCTATTATGCAATCACTTCTACATACACAGCCCAAACACACACACAAATCAGGACAAAATATATTTTTAAATTAAATTAAAATATATTATTGTGGGTGTTTGATTTTTAGCATATAATTTGCTTTTTTTCCCCCTAAGATGGCAAAACCCCTTCCCCAACAGAGTACTTCCAGGAGTAAGGGGAGGGATTTCTGGTGGCAAAGGTCAGAGCTTAGGGCAGGACTTCCGGCCCAAGATGGCAACCAGACGGCTGGGCATCTGCCAAGGGGTGGGGCTACCCATGCAGCCCTCAACAGCTTGCCAAAACTCAGAAAGCAGCCCTCTCCCCGAAATAGTTGTGTGCCCCTGCCCTAACTGCTGCAAGAGCTACTATTCAGTTTACTTACTAATACTTACAGTTTTTGCAAGAAAAGATCTTTTTTCTTCATTCTGCCTTACAAAAACAATCTGTATACCTTATTGGGGAAGGGGTGTGTTGAATGCAAAAAATACATAATTTTCCAAAGGAGCACATATGCAGGCCTTTTAACCCTTACCTTGTTTGATCTGCTTGGTGACGAATTCCAGCTCGGAGAGAGTGTGGATGCTCACCAGGTCCCCACCGCTTCTTAGGCAGGTCTTTTTTGCATCTTGCCAGCTCTTCTTCTCACCAATCAGGCGGTAGCAGTTGGACTGGAAGGGCTGCCAGCTGGGCTCACAGTCTACCTTCACCTCTGACCAGGAATCTGGGGAAATACAGAGCATCTTGCAGAGAATTCTTGCCACCACTTCAATGTCTCCTCTCCACTGCCACTCTGGGTTTGCCCCTTGTTAGCTATTGGAAGGTATGAAAATTAATGAGGCCTGAGTTATCTAGCCCTGTGTTACTGCTGTTGAATGATGTGGTGGGGGAAAATCAGAGATCACTGATTTTGAAATAGAAACTTTCCACTCAGCGACATCCAGATTCTACCCCAAGCCAACAAGTTCTCCACAGATCTCTTTTCCTGCTTCTGTAGGCTCCTCTGTCATTCCTCAGATCTCAGGAGGAGTCACACACTCCTATGTCTGCCTACTGGCATCTCATCAGAACAGTCTCTAGAACAGTGGTTTTCATCCTATTTGCCACAGAGGGCCACACTTGCAGCATTCAAGGTGTTATGTGGACCAACCCACAGAACTTACTTCCTTTGTTTCCATTTACAAAACATTTCAACAGGATATCACATGGGCCGCAGCAGTGTGCTGATTGGGCTGCATGTGGCCCGCAAGCTGTGGGTTGAAAAACACTGCTCTAGAACAATGGACTCTGGAAGATTTTGGGGCAGGGTCTGCCTCTGGTTTCCTGAGAAACCTGAAGGTCTTCTTTCCAAGACCCCTTTCTCCTACAACTAGCCCAAATATGAAAAACAGCCCTTTTATAGTTTCATAATTTCTAGGGTCGGAAGGGACCTGAGCA